AGTGACGCAAGGCCTCTCGTATTGTTCAGGTTGTCCCGGTTTTTTATATCATTTCGGCGCTCCTCGAAACTCAGTGTTCGGTTTCTAAACGCTGTTTTTATTTTCGCACAGAAATAAAACAAAATACGTAATAATGTTTCACACCAGTGCAGTGCAATAGAGACTTCTTTTTCCAGCAAGCCGCTTTCCGCCATGCATCCATGTCATCCTCCAGGCCGCGAATGTTTGTGCACATTGATTAAACAATTTACATGTAGATTGACATGCACTAGAAATCTGGTACTTTCTTTTAGAGGCAGCATGTTAGTGCACATAAATTCCTCCAGCCTCTTGCCTTCTAATCGCGTGGAAGGAAAATGGAAATACTCCCTGGCAGATTCACAACCATATATCATGGTGTCCTTTCTCCAAGAAGCGAGGTTTTTGATAGAATTTCGTTGCTCGGCCACTATTTTTTGTAGTGGCGCGAAAAAAGAAGAGAGAGAGAGAGAGAGAGAGAGGGGAGGGAGAAAGCAACGGTTTTCGCAGGCTAATCGTTTTCTTTTTTTGTTTTTTTTTTGCAATTGCGAAATTTTGGTGTGTTTAGGTATGTTTTCGTGGTGTAAACAATTTACGCGCTTCCCACAAATATTTCATCGTCAACGACAGTTTTAAAGTATTACGCACTGCCTCGGGTGCTTTGACCTTACGCACTAGGGCGTCACAGGAGCGAGTATTTCCGCAAAATAAATACGAGGACCTATTTCTCCCTTTGAATCGACCACTTTGTGGCATCACTACATTCACCATGAAGTTATAACAAATAATGATTGATGATGAAATTGATTGGGTCCCAACAGAAGAGCCACATTATTTAGGTTGCAGATAAACAGGGCGTCGTTCATGTGATTGATGTGTTTACTTCCACGTTCGAATGTGTTGAGAATGAGTAGCCGAAAAGTGCAGTCTGCAGGCTGCTTCCTGGAGTGGCCTGATATTTCCCCAACTCGGGAAGGGGGGGGGGGGGGGGGGGGGGGGAGAGGGGTCGATGTTGTTTGAAGGTGATAATATTTATTCTCACTCAGGAGAGTCGCCGGTCGTTAAAAAGTCCACTCGCCCATAACGGGAAAGCCTGTGGGGCCACATCTATAGTAACTATGAGTAAAATGTTGTATACACCTATGTCACTGAGAAATTATGATCGTGCATACGATGGGGCGTTGTGGATACAGGTGAAGCAAAGACCTATCTTGCGATTGTGCCGTCCTCATTAGAAGCAAGAATTTCGGTTTGCTTCTTCAACCCCTCCTGACGCCAATCTTTCCCATTTTGAATAAATCCGGGACAGCGTTGATCGCGCAAGCCCGCGCCAATATTTAAAGGTCTTTATCAAGTTATAGAACAGTCATCAAGCAGACGTAAGGAGGAATAAATACGCAAAAGAGTCCAAAATGGGATGAACAACCTATGAGAGGAGACGTGTTTCAAACAGTAATGAAGAGATTAGGGTAAGCCACTTAATTTATAAGTTTCGGAAATAAATGTATTATCGACGACCTGAACCCTTTATTGTGCAAGCCAATCCTTGTGCAGACACGGGAATGGTTCCGGCAGCCGCGCGATGCCAGAAAGCGGCTGCTGGAACGAACCCAGCATACCACGACCCCTCGATCTCCACCGACCGAGCGGCCTCGGACCTGCAGCTCATGGGAAAAAGAGTTCGGTCGCGCTGGCTTCCTCAATCCTGCGGATTGCGCGTGCCCGCGTCAACGAGGGAAGACACCTGGACGTCTCAAGGTCGTTGTGGCGCTCGCAGCTAGCCGCTTGTTTCGCGCTTTTTGAGGATTATCCCTACAGAAAAAGCCGACACAAAAGAAGCCTCTGCCGTCACGTGTTTTTTGGGAGAGGGTGAAAAGAGGAGGGCGCGAGGGGCATTTTCCTACCTTGCGGAAAATGGTTTCGTTGGTCGGTCTTTAAGCTATTTGTAAACCACGATGACAAATCCTCGGTTTCCACCGTGAATCGAGGGACGAAAGTTGAAAGCATTTCACCGAGTGTTTTTTTTTTTTTTTCATGAAAAGCCATTTTTAACTGGTAGAACGCTCCGTGTATGAGGTAGCAAACTGACGCTCAAATTCGTCCATGGCTGACAATAAACTTACGATATCCGTGCGTGAGTAGGCGAATATCGGTTTCTTTATCTTTTTAGAGCGTCGTGAGCAAAATGACGTTTCGACATGTAAAATACAATGATCGCTGATGCTTTCCATTATAGCGAATGATGTTACACATTCTGGGCTCGAGATAATGAACAGATCTAAGATGGCTCGGTCGCGAGTCGCCGACGTTATAATCTGATGGAGCGCGTACGTTTCCAAGAGGAAAAAATTAAAGGGGGCAATTTAATGTGAACTATGTCTGTCCCAAACCTGTGTAGGAAGTTTATATTAAATGAATATCGAAACACCTAGACCTTTTTCCTTTGCAGATTGAGATGGCGCCGTCCCCTGCAATAAGTGGCGAGTACAAGAAAAAAAGTGAAAGCCGTTTACAAATCCCTGTAAGGCCGAATTGGAGCGCAGCTCTTGAGGAGGAGGAGTGAAGGGTACTGAGGGGACGGTAGACCCCTCCTCCTTCTCCTCCTCCTCCCCTCATTTTTTAATATGCTCCGGGGGGGGGTCACGTGACCTCAGAGGGGTCACGTGACCTGGGGCGTCACGTGGGGGTCACCTTGGGGTCACGTGACCTTGTGATGACCTTGGGAGGGGTCACGTGACCTCGGGGGTCACGTGACCTTGGGGAGGAGACCACGTGACCTCGGGGGTCACGTGACCTCAGAGGGGTCACGTGACTTGGGGGTCACGTGACCTTGGGGTCATCTTGGGATCACGTGACCTTGGGGGTCACGTGACCTTGGGATGACCTTGGTTACGCCGACGCCGACGCCGCTCAAGCCGGGAACGGGCCCCTAAGAGCTGCGCTCTAAAAAAATGAAAGCCGTTTACAAATCCCTGTAACGCCGAATTGGAGCGCAGCTCTTGAGGAGGAGTAGGGAAGGGTACTGAGGGGAATCACGTCACCTGCGGGTAGTCACGTGACCCCGGGGGGGGGTCACGTGATCTCAGGGGAGGGGGTCACGTGACCTGGGGGGGGGGTCACGTGACCTCGGGGTGCACGTGACCCCCCCCCCCCCCCCCCCCGGTTACGCCGACGCCGACGTCGACGCCGCTCAGGCTGGAAACGGGCCCCTAAGAGCTGTGCTCTAAAAGGACACATAAATCTCCAAACACAGCTAGGTGACTGGTGCGCGACCAGTCACCTAGCTGTGTTTGGAGATTTGTGTTTGTCCTTTGATCCGCCTGTTCCCCTTCTCGGGGGATTATTTTAGTCGTTCTTAAAGTTTGTTTACAGTTCGAGTGACGGCACAAAACATCATACCTCCATGGTGAACGCTTAGAAAGGTAGTGCGACAATTTTAGTGCTCACAGAATTGTCAGTTTGTATCTTTCATATTGTTTATCCAAGCACAAGTGACCAAAAACGCGTCACCTTGCCTTAAAGAACTGCTATTCCGGTGCGTAATCGCAAAGAAGAAAATGAAATATTTGCCGACCTGCAGGCGCTTGTGGTGGTTAACGGAACTGTGTGACGTACTCTGGGGGATAAGCGGAAAGAAACAAAACTTGTCCCCCTCCGCTGCTACAGTCGCCGTCACTCCCGTGGCGAACCGTCTTTTGTGTCGATCGCTCGCCGCGACCTTCGACGATGCTAATCCTTTAAAAGTCGATAATCGCGGAGGAAGCGGCTGGGGTCTTTGAAGAGAGAACCCACGGGGGAACCACGTAATCCCCCGGAGTACGTCACTCGAAAGGCGACGTGGAGAGTTGAGAGACAGTTTTACCTTCAATTTGTTTCATTTTTTTTTTTACAAAAAAAAAAAAAAAACAACAACAACAACAAAAATACACACACACACACACACACAAAAGAAAAGAAAATTAGCGTTCGCAAGCAAGTACGGTTTTCTGTTTTTCGTTCCATGGGTGGCACAGATTAATTTCCGCAGTTAATTTACCAAAGTCTGAAAATCCTTGCACCAGCCCTTTAATTAAGTGCATCTTTTACACCATTTTCTTGTTTGGAATATGCACTGAGGTCTTCTCGAATGCACTAAATCGAAAATACGTTTGCAAAAAAAAAATATATATATATTTGAAAATGCGGTGTACAAAATGTTTCGCATGTTAACATAGGCTTACGCTGTGTACTGTCGTACGGCCAGTGATTTACCGAGTAAAAGTGTAAATATGCACTCTAATCCGCACATCCGGTCCTCAGTTGTCAACACGTTTACGGTTACTTTATGTTTACTTCTAGACGTCTTAACTTACCAGTCTTTTGATTCCTAGCGGTCGTGCGCAGTGCGTGCAATAAGCATACTTAGGTTTGTTGGATTAATACATTACACCAACCAATGCCATTAATAAAAATAAAACTATTCTAGGGCGCTTGGGAGACCTCGAGGACAAAAAATAATCTGCATCAAAGATTCCTGTCTATTCCTAGACTTTTAATTAGCTGGAAAATGCGCGAAAGAATGTTTGGAACTTTGAATTAACTGGAAAATGCGCTTTCTTGGTTATTTTCATTTTGAACCCTGCATATAATTTTAAATTACAAATTGTGCGTTTATTTAGAAGCGGAAAATTCTAGTCGGCCCTTAAGGCGTTTAATGTCTCAGCTGTAAGTTAAAAATGTTCTCCCTTGTGCAGAACCTCCGCTAGCATAGGTTCTTTAACGTGCAGCACGCGGTGCACGCCGGCACGATGCACATTTAAATCGAAACCGGCATGGGAATGGGGACGGAAGCCAGGATGGCTGGTTTTGGCAACGGTATATATCTTTCGCTGAATTTCAGAATCTGAGGGAGTTCTCGTATTTACACGACGCGCACATCCAAACAGTTCTCGAGAAAACTCAGTTATTTTATAGCTTTTATTTTACAAGCTCGAGTTATTTACCTGCAGTGGACGACAGTGGGCCCCTGGTTTCGGGAGACGAAGCGCCTGGCCTCGATGAGGAAACTCACCACGCTGGACACGTCTTCGGGGACGCCCTGCGGGGGCCACCCCGTGTACCAGCAGTGGTACACGTCTCTGCACAGGTTCTTCTGCAAAACGATACAAAAACACAGAGTTTACACACTAACACGTGGTTTACAAAGAAGATTGGGTTTGCCCACGCTGGGTGTGAGCACTGGGCCTGCGCAAAAGTCACATTCGCGTGAGGCGAATCGTCCGCGCATGTGCAGTGCCGACAGCAACGCCACCGCAGTGGCGTAACGTCAGAGAGTTTAATTGGTGTATAGGAGAGTGAATGCCCTAAAAGAAGGGCGGGAGAAATTAGCTTTGTCAATCTATACAAGCAGACATGGAAGGAGAGAAAGAGATGAGAACGCGCGGGGACGTCGGGACACCGATCTCTGGTTGGAGGCTAGATGCCTTTGTCTGCACTCAGTGTACGAACGCGTTCAAACGCGAACGCCAAACACCGGACAACAGTGTTCGAAGCCGTTCGAAGATTGATTAGGTATAGTCTCTACTATACCACACGGTATAATAGAGACAAAGGCAGCTTTAGCTTTGAGTCGTCTGGGACCACCTATCCTTCCAGTCAGAGCTCGCCGCCCTGGTGTCCCCGCGTGCTCTCGTCTCCTCCTCTCCCTTATGGACAACTGAGACTCCTTCCGGCCATTCTCATCCTGTCAGTGAGTACACACTCAAAGAAATCTGGAGCGTGTACTTTTCCGCAAAGTATACTATGAACAGTCAATCCCAAACACCAAGTGCCGGAGCAAAGACAGTCTTTCTTAATCTAAACATATTTTCAGCCACGTCATTTACCAAGTGTCCTCTATAGATTTTTTAGACCTCGCAGTGCTAAGTGCTCGTTATCAAAATTAAGTGTAACACAATACCGTTACCGCTACTACCAAAAGTGTAACGAACGTTGAGGTTTGCGTTACTTGAAATTTGAGTATTAATTGGCAGCAATAAGCCGCAAAGCAAAACTTCGACATCAATTAATTTTTAGCAAGTCAGAGCAAGTCAGTTCACTCCTACAAGACCGTGTAGAGTGCCTATAGCTTTGGAAGCTGAAACACCTCAGAGGTTGGGAACGCACATACGAACTTGTACACGTTACTAAGAAAGTAAGGAATTACATTTACAATTAACCAAGACTAAAGTTTAGCTAATTACTGTTATAAGTACTCTTCCATAAAAGTAAGTGAACGTTACGTAAAAAGGTAATGTTACTCTTGCGGCGTTACTTTAACTTTCTGTCCTAGGGTAAACAAAAATTTAAATGTCAATATACTGTACAGAACGAATGTAGTACGTGGTACGGGGCGGTCGTATTACAGCTCAATATTCTTTAGCTAGATTTCAGGTGAGGAACCCTACACTTTGAGAGCCAAAAACAGTCAAGTTATGAACCTACTTGTTACTACAAACGTAAAAAAGCTGACGTCACCTAATATTTTTTATTAGTGGGTTTAAGTAGATTAAGAGAAAACGCTATAGGATCCTCATCAAACACATGTTCTACTAAAAATGTACCCTAATATGGTAAAAAGAACAAAAAATAACACAAAAGACACACCTACCGTTTTTATTTAGGTCACGAAAAGCTGACGCACAAAAGGGACACAGGGATGTGGGAAAGCTGGAGCTCTTATAAGAATAGTTGAAAAACAGCACAATATCAAATAAACATCCGTATGTACTAAATATAAGAGGTGTTCTAATATCTTTTGAGCATAATGCCAGTCACTATCACATCGTTTTGAGACGATTCCCATTTGAACTTTATTTAACTGTCCTAAACAATACACTAAGAGTCATAGTCAATATTTAACTGTTGTAGTCAATATACTAACTGTCGTAATCAATAAAACTGAAGACAGCATTGTTAATTGCCTCAATCTTTTGGAAGGCGCATATTCGTTTGGTGTCCTTCTCTCCGCACCTTTGAGAGCAAAGAGTGAAGGGACAAGATGAACAGGTGCGCAGATCCACTATACCAACTCGCGTGCATTTCTAGAGTTTTTTTGTTTGTTTGTTTGTTATACGTCGCTCTGCAGTCACGCCTTGGGCTTTTAAGTCATCGAGTTGCTCAGCATCTGGCATGCCTTCTAGAAATATACTGCCAATCCCCCACTTCCTTCACCCACCCCCCCCCCCCCCCTCCGCGAGCTGTTTAGCCACTTGCGTGTTCGATCTCGACTGTTACAAGGACACTCAACTTAAGCAGCACCTCGGCTCCCCTGTTATTGCGAACTGCATAAGAATATTCCCTGAGGGGAGCTTTCGTTACGAATTTTGTTGTCGAAATGTGAGATAGACATTTCAATGTTAAAAGGTGAAATCTTGCCCAAAGAGTGTCCCTAGTGGCATAAAGTACAATAAAGATTAGTTCGTAGCGCTGAGTTTTGTTGGTCAAGGTCAGTATTTTCTCATGCCTTGGTCGTTTCGCAGGTTTCTGCCGCTTGGCGATAGGTTTAGTAGAACGTATGCGAGTTTAAGCACTGGTGGGACTCGGCCAGTCGGCGGTAGCTCACCCTCAATCATGGTGAGCTACCGCCGTGGCACCCGTCGACCAAAGCTTAACCAAGACCCCGGCCGTCAGCGTTCAACATTTCTTCCCTCCACCTTGCGTCCTCTCGGCACGGTTGAATACACCTTAGAATTGGGGGCCCGGGGTCGTATGGGCTCGGGGCCCTAATGACTCACGAAACACCTGGTTTCACAGGTGCCCCCTGCGTGGAGGGCGTCACAGCGGAAAAGTTTACCAGCAATAAAGGTCGATTCACACACTTGCGTGAGTTTGACCGAGTGGGGCTGCAACGGCTTGCGGCGTTAATCGTTTTACCGGTTGCTACAGCGACGGGGTTTTAAAACGGTTGCAACCGCCCCGTTGCCATAGCAATCCGTAAAAAAAGATGGACGTCGCGAGCCGTTGCATTCGCATTCGGTCGGACTCACGCAAATGTGTGAACCAGACTTAAGCGTGCTAACAGACTCGGTTTTGGAACCAATCGCTGATGACGATGTGTTGAAACCTTCAAGTGGCGATAGGGTGTCACGTTATTGACGGATGCCGGTTGCTACGAGACCTCCGCGTTTTTATGGTATGGCGGCAGGGACGAGGGCAAGGATCTTTGTGTAGAAGTTCGGTCAAAACACCCACCAAGGATGTCTGCAGCTTCCCTGCAGTGAAAGACTTCCCGACTGATTTTTGACAGTGACGGAGGGATGTTATTTTTCCCGGTGAAAAATTTCGGAATGATGCCGCGGAATAGAAAATAATATTTGCATTTTTCAGCGCAGTTACACAATGAGAGTTAAGTTGTTTTCGAGCTAAACAACAACAAAAAATATTATAAAGCAACGTGCAACGGAATTTATTAAACTATACCGTAATATAGTAACGTAAATACTTTAATCGGTCGTGAACCGAAAATCTTAATACGCACGATAGTGCGTTACTAGAAAAAGTAACGCGTTAGCCGTTACGTCGTTACTTGTAACGTGTTACTTCGAACACTGAACACTCGTAGCTTAGGCTTTCCTCCAAGGAACGCTCTATCAATAAGCAACAGTAAAACATGGACTTTAATTTTTTACGGAGTATGAAAGACCTGGTGATTGCGGTGAACCTGGGTGGAGAATAAAACTTATTATTTTTTAAATGTTGATTTTAATGAGACCGGATTTACAACGATATTTAAACGTTTCCCGCAAAAATAATTTATGAACTATTTGTTATTAAAGTTTGTTGATTACTTGATTATTTCTACGTGAATTTGTTTTGTATTTAAATCGAAGATTTATCAAGCAAGGAAGACTTATAAAAGGCTGAACACGAGCAATAACAAGCGCCCTTCAAGACCAATCTGAGCGCCGAACTTTTTTTCGACGGTCCACTCTGTTCATACGTAACGGCCTATTTCATCGTAACCGTAGAGCACAGTAAAAAACTAACAAACAATAACAAAACAATAACTACAAAAAGGTCCTTTACAATCAAATCACAACTCGAGAGAAAGGTCAAGTGAAGTTTTTAACTACTAAAACAAATCAATCTGTTTTTGCTCTAGTGTGACGGGGATTACAGAAATAAAAGGTTGGTGATTAAACTGCACATTTACAATAATATTTCCCTCCGCACCGTTATCAGTAATTCGGTGAATCAATCAGACAATCGTCTATGTTGAAAAATACATATAGTGGTAAGAATAGGGTCTAGGACATTTCGGTGTAGGACTTTTCGGTATAAGACTTTCCGGTGTAGGAGTTTTCGGTGCACGGACTTTTCGGTGCACGGACATTTCGGTGTACGGACATTTCGGTGTACGGACATTTCGGTGTACGGACATTTCGGTGTACGGACATTTCGGTGTAAGGACATTTCGGTGTACGGACATTTCGGTGTACGGACATTTCGGTGTACGGACATTTCGGTGTATGGACATTTCGGTGTATGGACTTTTTTGGTGCATATCTTTTGAAATCCTAGTTATCTTTTGATTGTCTTGAGACGTACGTCGCATATTTTTTTACTTATACTGCTTATACTAACATCTTCATACAGTATCTTTGTGCCCTCTCGGTATGAAAGATCTTGATCATGGCATCTACAAATAACAATTTGTTTTTATTTTCCTTGTTTATTAATCAAATGAGTAAGAGATTATCTTCGACGTACTTGTCCTAAGTAACCCCTTTGCTTCCAGTATACAGGGTCTTTTCTTTAAGTTTAGCAGATTTGTTTAAAAGAAGCAGTGAAGGTTACACTTATGTGGTTTGTGCAGGTGAGTTATACGGCCAGGGGGACATAGTATAGGGGGCTAATCGTAACGATCATTTGGCTAAATAATTGAAAATTGTTAATTAGAATTTTAATTATTGAAAATAGATATATCTCTATAATTAAAAGTTTGCTGAGTGTCATCGAAAACCACTAAATGAATAATTTCCACAAAGACTCTGATCGCATGAGAAGCGTAGTAGTGCACTAAAGTTACCACCCGTGGAGCAGGTACAAGGCTAGAGGAGGCAGAACGTGATGATAATCTAATCATCCGCGTTCCGCAAAAGCTAGCCTTGT